AGCAAAAGAGACAAGCTACTTGAGACTTCACCAGACTGAAACAGTATCATGGATGTTTTCTTCATAGGGCACCCAAGTGGGGAGGGAACAAGAAAGAAAAACGCCAGTCTCTCTCAAGCTAATTTCCTGCTTGTATCACCCACCTCTGAAATCAAGGGGATTTGAAATAGCTAAAGGGAGATTTAGTAAACTGGAATAAAAAAAGGGAATTGAAGAAAGGGCCTAGAAAGAAAACAGAGAGCTAATGAGAGTGTGTGTGGGGGGGCGGGGGAAGAAGAGGAAAAAAAAAACAGAAAGAAAGAAAGAAAAAAAAAAGTGGTTCAAAGACATGCAGATAGAACATGAGACGGTCAACACTGGGATTTACTCAAAACTGAGTAGCTAAGTAGTTGACTATATCCCATGTAACTTATTAACAGATTTTCTAAAATATATTAGGGGTTAAATAATGAAGTCATTTCAATTTAACTTTTTCATTTTCTTCTTAGCCCTGGTTGCATGAAAAGTCTGCCACACTAATTAAATTAATATACCACATAATAGCCCTATGCTGTTATAATACTAAATATTTTGCTATATTAGGGAGAATATAATTATAAAACAATATCGATATAATAGTTGTATTTAATTCATCAATACTCTTACTAGGGAATAATAAAAATACTAAGAATATACTTATCAAAGAAGTACTCTAAGCCTGAGCTTCCTAATCTGTGTTCTGAGATACCATGGGATGCCACAACTGTGCTGAAACATGGCTTCCTTTGGCCTTCAGTGTCTTTGGGAGAAGCCTGAGGCAAGTGGAGTTTTCACTTGACATACAGCTTCTTCTGATGGCTCCAGATACAAACATCATTCCCTAGATATGCAAATGACATGCAAGCAATAGGAAAGCACTGCTATAGCTAACCACAAAATATATACTGTATATTTACATTTGTATACAAATAGTTCTGTTACTTACATGATAGTGTTGCTCATAAAATGTTTTCTTATAATCAAAAGAAAATAGTTACCAAGAGGAGCAAAGGGATGCTAGAGCTTTCCAGGAATGCCATGTCCAAACAGACATAAAGGCTTTTGAGTTAAAATAAAATATATGGATATATTTGCCCTCTTATTAAGCATCTTTGCCAGTGAGAGAACAAGGTTGTATTTCCATTCAGTAAGTAAACACATTTAAATATACAGGCAAATTAATTGAAATTACAAAAGTATTTCTTAAATGTGAATTTAAAGGATCACAGTAACATACCTGCCATATTTGAATTCAAAATAAAAGGAATGAAAATCGCAAAGGTCATTACACAAAGTTCTAGCAACACAAAGGGATATGAGAAATAAAAGTTTGGGCAAAAATTTTGAATTCTGGATGAATTAAACAAGCACAGAATGAGTCAGAGATGAAACATACAGACAGGAGAAAACAATGACTATTTTCTGATGTTATCATTTGCTGGCTAATTCTCAAAGAGATAAATTTAAATTCAGATGCATACAGAGTTAAACTTCATCTTCATATAAACATTTTCTTAAGAGCAAGAAGAGAAATACTGAATACAAGAATACCTCCTTAAAGTTGTAAAGTTAAGTTAGCTCAAAGCCTTAACATTGATAGTCATATCACAACAGTCTTCACAAAAATCTTCCTGCCCTTTATGGAAAGCAAACCAGCTAACATATATTATTTCTCAGGGAATAAGCTTCCCAAACAGTTGTGGATTTCAAATCCATATAGGACAACTAGTAATCACTCACCTATTTTCTTGACCACACTACATAAACAAGAGGGTACATTTTGAAAATATTTACCACTTTTCCCCCTATATCTCTATTCTACCTTCTATAAACTGCTTTACATTGTCTTTCTTGAATATTAATAAATTAATCTGTTGTATTAAGATTCTTTCACTTTCAGGGGCCGGCCGAGTGGCTCAGTTGGTTAAGAGCGCGAGCTTTGAGCAACAGGTTCGATTCCACACGGGCAAGTGAGCTGCACCTGAGCTGAGCTGCCACTGAGCTGCCAACAGGTGGAAGGATGGCTCAGCTGGTGAGAGCACGTGCTCCTAACAACAAGGTTGCTGGTTCAACTCACGCATGGGATGGTGGGTTGTGCCCACCCGCAACTAAGCTTGCACATGGCACCTTGAGCTGAGCAGCCTTGAGCCGCTGACCGGCGGCCAGATGGCGACTGGACTGGGAACTGAGCTAGCTGCACCCTCAACAACTAAGATTGAAGGACAACAACTTGGCTGTTCCCCTTCCCCAATTTACCAACACTATTCCCCATCCCCAATAAAAAAATCTTTAAAAAAAAAAGATTCTTTCACTTTCAGGTCATTTTTCACACAGATCAGATTAAATCCATAGCTAACACAAAAGTAACAAATCCACTGGGAGCACTTTCATTACTTATCTTTATAATCCAATCAGAAAAAATCCTCAACATTATAATTTTAAATTAATTGCAGTCATTTAGGAACTTATTAATAAAATCAGAATTAATTTCAATGTCACCCCAATAAATTTAATAAAAAAATTTTTTAAAGAATTTATTTCTTTGCAAGTGATTGAGAAAATATCTCCCTTTGTTAATCTCTCCCTTTCTTAACTTCCTCACTTTGGCTAATGGAGACACCATTCTTCAAGTCTATTATATTAATTTTATACTAAAATAAAATTGTCACTAATGTCTTAATCATTTTTAAAGATCCATCCATCTCAAATGTGACTTCCTCTGCAAAACACCCACAGATCCCATACTATGAATTTGTTAATCATCCCTCTATAATTGCAGGGAGTGTTAATGTCTATTACATCTCATATCAAAGCCATGATGTGTAGGTTGGTCACTGCACAATTCAGATAGCACCATTCATAATGTACTTTGTGTGAATGGCAGTCCCTATATGTAAGACCAATAGGTGTGACCATTCCATGTGAGCCCTGTGCTTTCTGGACTTGCGATGTTTTTTAAATATTTCTTTCGAAAATATTTTTAAATATTTCTCCCAAAATAGGGAGTCATATTCATTTTGACATCCTAATGAATACAGTGTTTAGCAAACTACTGTTTAATGGAACACTCTCCTTCCTGCCACTGAAATGTCTCTCAGATTTAACTTCATTTGTTTCACTTGTTCTAGCCTTGTCTAACAATTTATCAAATCAAGCTTTGATTACTGTACCAAAGTATTTCAGAAAGCATATTCTATGCAATGTTAATAAGTAGGCTAATATGGGTCTTTGGCTAAATAAGTTTAGAAACTACTAAATTCAGTAAAGTTAAATATGAAGTTTTCTTCACTGCAGGAGCTTTTGTGTTCTGTCAACATTAGGAATCTCCAAGAAAGAATTCACTGCTTTTAGCCTAGAAAGGATATGCCCATTGACTTCATAAGGACACATTTCTAGATTCAGTAATCCCATTACTTAGGTCATTGTGTTTCTTAAGATTTGAAATGAGAAGGGATAAAGAAGTTGCTTGTGTAGGGGTCAAACAGATCTACTGGGTTGTTGGAAAAGGCATGACGTATTTTTTCTATGTTTTTCGCTGCAAAAATGCATCATGACTTTTCTGACAACCCAATACTATAATATGTGTTAAAACCTCAAAGCAAGTAAAAAAAAAAAAAATATATATATATATATATATCACCCTTTTAACTGAGTTTGTTTGCCTTTACTAATTTGTAAGAAAACATAAATTAACATCTCACTTTACTTTTTTTCCCATTCTGTAGTTTGCGAACCCCAAAACAAAAATATAACCCCTCTCTTCATCTATCATAGTATTGGGTTGTCGGAAAAGTCATGACGCAATTTTGCAACGCAAAACATAGAAAAAATATGTCCTGACTTTTCTGACAACCCAATATTTCTCAGAGGTAAAAAGTTCAGCCTTCTAGGGGTGTTTGGGAAGTGTATTATGGTGTTTTGGGTTGACTTAATGATTGGGTGTCACTAATGGCATTTAAGAGTTAGGAGTTGGGGAATCAAGAGGTCCTATGATAAACAGGACAGTACTGAAAAATGAAGACTATCTTACATTCACATAGGTGAAAATCCTGTTTATAATATTATAATATAAAACTGAATCTGTTTTAAATCTAAACACATTTTTTTGGGCATCTCTATGTGATTATATTATACACTAAGAGTTCCAGAAATACAACTACTGAAATGAAAGGAAGACTAAACTTTGTTTTATGTGAAACTTTACTAAGAGTTTACCACTATTTCAGAAAATTACGCCACCAACAACAGTAGCATTTGTGGTATTTAATATAGGCTTGCACAAGTCTATTTGTATCAGTCACATTCACAGTAATTATATGGACTTGGCTACTTCATTATGTCTTCCAATGTTAGTCATACCTGTGTATTTGCATATTGAAATATATATTATTGTACCTAAATATCTTTCCTTTACTCTTTGTATTTTATTTAAAATATTATATAATTTTGAAATGATATGTATATGTAGGTTTTATTATTTTTACTTTCATTTCAGAACAGGAGGCCTTATAAAATGGAGCTCTCAAGATGGGGCACTGGCACATTAGGGTGTTCGGCTTTTATAATCAGAAGACAGCAGGGGAAGACTCTGGGTCAGACAGGATTGAATAGCATTAAAGAGAACAGCAACAGCCTGGTTCACGAATGGGGCAGAGGGTAGGGGAACAGGGAGCATGAGCCTTTGTCACTCAGCTTCTACGGTTCCATGCTGCTGAGGAAACATCTTTCCTGTGGCTCAGTTTTTACCATTTCACAGAACCCCCACTGGCCCGAACTATCCCACTACCTACTGAAAGTGATTAAAATACTTGGACCTGAAAAGATCAGGAAACACACACAGCTACTGCTACCCCAGCTCCTCAGGAGCCTTCTGAACCTGCCAGCTTCCACAGACATGAGGTCACCTTCATTCTCAATCCTGATGGAACTCTGTGGTATATATTGCTCTTCATTTTGTAAAAGAATTTTTCAGAAACACTTACCTCAGTGGTAGTTCCAATGTCAGCAGATGGGCTGCATGTGCTGGTATCTGGAGGAGCCGTACCTACACTGCTTCTAACTGGAGAACTGGGGACAGGCCCTGCCATGGTCTCTGGATAAGCTGAAGAAGGACTGAGATTGCCTCTCTTCTGAATCTTATGCCAGACCTTATTCATGATATCAGTTAGCTCATAGAAGAGCTGTACCTGAACAGAAGGAAAAAAAAAAGAGTAAGCAAATCTTTCAATATCTATTTACAATTGACTAAAATATTAAATGTTAATAAATTTTAAAAAGTCCAGGGAAACAAGAATATATGAAACAAAAACCTATCAATGTATCACTGACCATATTATACCATGATCCATAATCTGATATATAATTATGTTATCATGAATATTTTATCATGACTATGATTCTAATGATAGAGAAAAAATTAATGTAAAAATTTTACAATTAAGCATTATCAGATATGATTATAAACAGGTATAATCAATTTATTCACACTTAAAATCTGACACATTCACAATGTGATATTTTATAATCAATTTAGCATTTTTATAGGAAAATAATGCTATTATAATAACACTAATATAACAAGTTATTATGGACAGACTTCTTTAAATATATAAATAGAACAAACACAAAGAAGTGCCTCTTAAACAGAGGTCAGAATCAAAATTAGAAATCCAAATATATCCTAGTAAATATAATTATTTAGTGACGTATGAAATAATTACTATTCTTATTTCTGAATGATTTCGACATTTAAATTCTATTTCTCTAAGGAGTATATCTGAAGCTGGATTTCTTACCCAGTAAAATATAGTGAAAAAGAATGATATAACATACAATAGTAAAAGAAAAATGTTACATATGAGGCTTTTCTATAGATAAAGAACATAAGCCATCCAACCAACTATTCCCCTCAGATTTGTCATTCCAATATTCAGAGAAAAAAATGTTTAACTTGCACATTGTTTGACTAAGTTCTAAGATATTTACACAAGATTTCATAAATAAGAATTAATCATGGAATTTGTATGACAACATATTGCCATATACTGTATAAAACAAGCCCCAGGGAAAAAAAATGCAAACACAATATATAAGCAAATCCACAGCTGGATACCATATTCTGCTTGCCATTAAAAAAAAAAGCAAAATTCTCATATTTATAAAAAGTTTCAGCCCCAGGATACATCCAGATGATAAAGCTGGCTTCTTATGTGGGCAGAACAGATGCATAAAAACACTGTTGTCAATCCCTATTTGATATAAAACAGTGCTGGGTTACAGTTTTCTCCTGCTTTTTGTGTGATGAAGTCTCAAATCTCAGTTATGGCTCTTTTTGTTAAAAAAATAATCTAATGGCTAGAGATCCTACAAAAAAACCTCTTAGAAAAATTTTAGTTCAAATTCTTTTGTCCTTCATAATCACAAGTTCTCTCTAAAAGGAAACAATTTTGTTGCAAACGAAAAATTTTTAAATGATTATTTTACTTTTTCTTAAACAACTAGAACTGACAAAAAAGAAAAGCATAAACCAATGAAAACAGGTTCTAAGGGCATAAGGTTTATTTACATAAGAGATTGATGCTGCTTTATTGTCACTACTTCTGATTTTCTTTTACTGTTACCATTAAATAATTGTATATGAATGTCACCAAGTACACTGTGTATTTAACATGCCAAACAAACAGACATAAACTTTAAATGTATTTTTATTTTCAAAGAAGATAGCTGCTTTCACAGAATTCAGACTTCCCAAATTCAAAAGGTTTAAAAAATCAGGCAAAAAAATTGAAGGTAAATGTTCAACTATTCTTCTTTAAACTGTACCGAAAACTATGCCAATTAAAGCCACAATGAGCTACCTATACTTGTCTATTAAAATGTCTAAAATTAAAAAGCCTTAACTATAACCAAGTACTGGTGAGGAGGTAGAGAAACTGAAACTTTCATTTACTATTGATGGGAATGCAAAATTTAGAATACAGTTTGGCAGTTTCTGAAAGACATATACCTACCATATGATCCACCCACTTCACTCGTGTTTCCCCAAGAAAAATACAGGTCAATGTCTACACAAAGACCTGTATACAAATGTTCGTAGCAGTTTTATTTGTAATAGTCCAAAGCTGGAAAAAAAAAATCTCAAATGTTCATCAATAAACAGATGAACAATTTGCAGTATATCCATACAACAGAATGATACTTAGCAATAAAAAGAAAGACACAATGGGTTCATGCAAAAACATGGATTACTCCAAAATAATTATGCTGCATAAAAAAGCTAGGCAAGAAAATAAAAAAAGAGAGAGAATAGATAGAATACAACTGTATGATTCCATTTATATAGAATCCTAGAAAATGAAAAATACTCCATAATGACAGAATTAGTGGTTGACTGATATTGGGAGAAGAGTGAAAGACGGGACTACAAAGACGCACAAAGAAACTTTTGAGGATGATGGAGTTATGCATTATCTTGATTGTTGGGACAGGTTTCATGGGTGTACATATGCCAAGCCTTATCAAATTAGATAATTTAAACATTGCAATTTATTATATTTAAGTATAGCCCAGTAAAACATTCTTAAAAAGTCACTAAAAAATGAGCATGAAAGTAACTGATTATCAATAATACTTTAAGTATTAAATGCTGACTGAATATCAAAAATGCAATATTTTACTGTTTAAAAATTAATTTCACATACATTTTCTCATTTAATGTATGACCAATCAGAAAGGAGAATTTTTGACTGAAGAGGCTGAGATAAGGCTCAAGGAGATACATTTCTGAAGGCCAGACAGAATTTGGGTGGGTGCAAAAAGTCATTCCAGTCTTAAGAATAGCAAGAGCAAAAGCCAAGTACAACAAATTATCAAGATATGATGTAAGGGCAATGAAAAGTCTTACTGCTTTAAAGAGTAAGGACTTTTCTACAGGGTGTTAGTACAGAGAGTCTGATAGAAGAGTTGTCATAAAGGTAGAGAGGAAGAAGAAAAACCATGGACACACAATGTCAATGGAAACCAAGGAGGAATGGAATTTCAATAAGCAATTTCTGATCAGCACAGGAGCTTTGACCTGCTGCATTTCTGACCTGGGCCGGTTCACCCCTCCTTAGGCAACCTAGTGATCCCCAGCTCCTGGGAGGTCACCATATTGATGCCAAATTTAGTGTGGACACCCAACTGGCATAAGATGAGGGTAAAAGGGATCAAATACATGGTGATGGAAGGCGATCTGACTCTGGGTGGTGAACATACAATGTGATATATAGATGATGTATTACAGAATTGTACACCTGAAACCTATGTAACTTTACTAACAATAGTCACCCCAATAAACTTTAAAGAAAAAAAAGAAGCAATTTCTGATCTGTTTGAACAGTGTAAAGAACTCTAAGTGAATACGAATTTAGAAAGACTTTCATTTGGCATGCAGGTTGTTATTATTCATTAAAGCACAGTTTCAAAAGAAAAAGGTTTTGCCGAATAAAAACGAGGAAAGCTTTTCATATGGAGCATTCTACTTACCCATTATACTCTTATCTAATTTATTTTAACAGATAAAAATGAAAATCAGGGGCTCAGAGAAATTAAAAATGAGTGAGTGGTATAAGAATACAAACCCAGTTTTTTCTGAACTCAATGCCTATTTTCTTAGACAATAATGCCAAATTCTACTGCCTTGGTGAAAACTAAACATAGCTTTCTGCAATAAAATTATGAGTAAAATAAATGTATAGGAAAAAAGCATAAAACCCATTCTTTCTCTAGTTCCACATACTTAAAACCCCAAATGTAAAGATAGGTTTGTTCTTGGGAATGCCTTATAGGAAGACAAAATATATTATTTATTGGCTGAGGAAAAAAATTGAAATTTTATTATATTAAAGAGAGGGTTCTTGGGCCGGCTGAGTGGTTCATTGGTTAAGAGTTGGCCTGAGAGCACAGGCTCTGAGCAGCAGGGCTGCTGTTTCGGATCCCACATGGGCCAGTGACGCTGCCCTCTACAGCTAAGATGGTAAACAACAGCTCGACCTAGAGCTGGGCTGCAGTGAGTCGCTGGTGACGGCATAGGCTGCAGTGGGGCTGCAGTGGGCTGCCGTGAGCGGCTGTCCAATGGCCAGCGACCGATCTGCCTCACCCAGGAAGAGCGCAATGATAATACCAACATGGACCAGTGAAGCAACATCCTCCACAACTAGACTGAAGAACAAAAGACAACAACTTGTTTGTTCTCCTTCCCTGATTCCCCAATAAAATCTTTAAAAAAAAAAAAAAAGAGAGGGTTCTATAGGTGCATTTAATTTTGGATACATACAATGGAATGAACATAAATTTTAAGTCTGAGAGACCAGTGTCTAAACACATTGAAGGGAACTGGGTAACTTTACAAAGTCATTCGTAAGGGGAGGAAAAAAACTCTGAATATTTAACCAGGTTAAATACTTATAGTGTCTAAGACCCTTGGATGGCAATGAGTTCTAAGAACTGATATAGTAGTTTAAGTCTTCACAGTTGGTATAGAGACCTAAAACAATGTCTGATATGACAATGAGCTTTCTCTGGGTCAGCCCTACATATGGAGCTGGCTCTATGTTTTAAAATATAAACTAGTTGAAGCCTCTGTATCTGAGCAATAATGAACCAAATTAATGTACAAGGATCAACACTTATGGTATCACTCTAATGGATAAACAAAAGAATGGTATGCATTTAAGGAGGAATTATTTCCCTAAAATACAATCAAGAAGCCTATACACTGACTATAATCAAAAGTATACAAAGCTTATGTTAATACTACGTGCAAAGTCTATTGGGTATTTACAGTGTTCTGGGGGAAAGACTCACAGCTTTTATCAGATTCTTAGAGAAGTCCATGGCACACACACACAAAAAGACAAATACTGTTCTTCACAAAACCACAAAAAACAAAAACAGATGGATTATGGAGCAACAATTCATGGGAAAGAGGTTTAGTTTGAGTCAATAATCATAAAATAAAAAAATAAAAACAGTACAAGAAATTTTAGGATAGTATATGTATGTGAATGTTTGTATTTTAGGGGCCCACAGTATTATTTTTACAAGGTAGGACACTCAGAAAATAAAGAGAGACATATACATTGATTTCACTAAGAAAGATTAAACATTTTTGGCAAAAGATGCCACGAACTTTTAAGGGAAATAA